TTTATCAATGTCATTCCTGATATTTTCATGATTATCATCATTAATTCCTTTTTTTTAGGGTGTTTATCTTTGGAACCGAGTGGTCTACCACGCTTTAAGCGTGTCGCTGATTCATTAGCACTTGCAATTTGTCCATCAGGGACAATTATTTTAGCTGGAGCATTAGCAGCTTGGATATATGATCGAGTGACTTTGCTCAAGTCATTGAATGCATCTGGTAACTGATTTGCAATATTTTGCAAATGTATAATGCGTTGAACTTCTAGTTCACACTGCTTTGTACGAGGATCACAAAAATTCAAAGGGATTTTCCAATTAATATCCCTTTTCGGTTCGTTTTTGTCTCCCCCTAATGTCGGAAAATATGATTCGTCAAAATGACAATCTGCAAATCTTGCAGTGAATAAATCGCCCGTCATAGGTTCAAGATATTTTATAATTGACGGCGATTCATATCCGACATAAATGCCCAATCTACGTTGAGGATCCATTTTTGTACGTTTGGAGGGTGGAATAGGAACATAAACAGCACACCCAAAAAACGTAGATAAGATATATTTGGTTCGTGACCAAATACTAACTGCATTGGGGAATAACTATGATAGCTTGTTGGCTCATATTTATAAGTGTTCCTTCATGTAAGATTGCATGCCTCCAAGCTGAAACGGACAACATAGACCTCATCAATAATGATCTAGAAATCAATTGCAATATTTTAATAAATGATTCTGCCAGACCATTTTGTGTATGGACATGAGCAACTGGGTGTTCTACATTAATTCCAATCGACATGCAATAATCATCAAATGCATTCGATGTATATTCACCAGCATTATCCAGACGTATTGTCTTAATTGGATTATCGGGGAATTGTGCCCGTAATTTAATAATTTGGGCAAGCAATCTCGCAAATGCCACATTGCGAGTAGATAATAAACATACATGGGACCATCTCGTAGATGCATCAATAAACACCATAAAATATTTAAATGGCCCACACGGTAGGTCTATTGGTCCACATATATCCCCGTTTATTCTTTCCAAAAATGTAGGTGATTCAATACCTACTTTAGCTGGCGATAGCCTGATATCAATTTTCCCTGAGTGCAGGCAACACAGGTTAACTCATTTAAGTTTAACACTTTTTGATCTTTTAATGAATGGCCATGCGAATTCTAAATTATTTGCCTCATCATTATACTGCCAGGATGCCCAAGGCGATCATGCCATATTTGAAAATCAGTAGTCTTTTGATCTACCGTGAGGTGTGTTTCAACAACATCTAATCTGGCATAATATAAGCCAGTAGAGAGTGAGGGTAATCTGTCAATGATGCATTTCCTTTTATCAATGATATTGGTGATCAATAAAAATTCACCATCGGTATCACTCATAGTTTCAATGTGATAACCATTTTTCCGAATGTCATGAAAGCTCAGTAAATTTCTTCAAGCTTTAGTGGCCAATAGTGCATGCTGTATCACAATTTTCGTCCCCGCCGGAAGAAATATAATGGCTTCTCCAGAGCCTTCAATTAATTTTGAACTGCCACTTATTGTATTGATATTCATCTTTTCCCTTTTCAAATGGGAGAAATATTTTTCGTGTTTTAATATAGTATGTATCGTTGCACTGTCAATGAAACACATATTTGCATCATTTTGATTGACATCCATTTAACCTTCAAATATAAATAAACACAGTATTAATAAAGGCATATGTAAGTATTACAAAATGTATTATAAAAAGGTAATATGTGATAATTTAAATATTACAAAACATAATGTAAAATGACATAATATGTCTATCACTGGGGATTTGCTGGATCTACGACAAAATCCGCTATATCAAGATGCGTTGTGTCGTAATCCAAAAGATCATCATCGGGGTCGTCATCATTATCAACGTGATTAATCTTGATTTCCTTCCCTTTTTTTCTGCAGTGAGGCTTGATAAAGATCGGCTAGGTGTTTGGCTGTTCTACAGGTATTGGCCCAATGGCCTTCAATGCCACACCGATTACAACTGCCGATTTGTCTCTTTCCCTGTTTAGCCTTTTCGGCTATATCTCCATGTTGGGGTTTACTCTGCATCCTGTTAATGTCAAAACTGCGGCAATTGTAAGGGGTATATCAACCGTGTTGACTCTCACGACCGCGACCACGTCCACGGCCTCTACCACGTCCTCGACCTCGTTCAGAAAATGTCACGTTCGCTTCAGGGAATAGACTAGAACCAGTGGGCCGAGATTGATGATTTTTCATAAATAACTCATTATTTTGCTTAGCTAATAAAAGACATGCAATGAGCTGTGAGTAATTTTGAAAGTTTTTCTCACGATACTGCTGTTGCAGCACAACATTCAAAGCATGAAAGGTAGAGAAAGTCTTCTTCAATTTATCATTCTCAGTAACATTTTCTCAGCAGAGTTTCAACTGAGATGTAATCTGATGGATAGCAGAGTTGTACTCTGTAACAGTTTTAAAATCCTGCAACAGCAGGTTAAGCCAATCATGTTGGGCTTTCGGGAGAGTGATATATTTCAAGTGCCCAAATCTCTCCCTTAATTCATTTCACAAATCAAGTGGATCTTTCACCGTCAAATATTCAGACTGTAGAGGAATGTCCAAATGATGACGGATGAAAATAATAGTCTTAGCCCGATCTTGGCTTGTAGCCGCATTTTCACTGGCAATTGTATGGACAAGGCCCATAGAAACCAGATGCATTTCTACATCCAGGGGCCAAGTCAGAAAATTATTCCCGGTGAGAGACAGAGGTTTAAAAGAAAATTTTGCGAGATTTTCCATAGTTTAGAAAATAGATAATATAGATAGTATGAAAATAAAATTTGCCAAAAATCAAAATAGGCAAGAGCCTTCGTGCTGATAACGTGTTATATAATAAATATTATATTTGGTAAGTATAATAGTATATATATAGTGTATATTATAGATACAATACATGTTGATGTAATGATTATATATATATATATGGTGATAGTAGTGTGTGAATGACGTGTGTGTGTGTGTGTGAGAGTATATATATATGTATGTAAGTAAATTGAGAGAGAGAAGGAAGAGAATGAAGTTTTTGGTGGGATGAGACTTCTGCTTGTGTATTTCATTACATTGAATTAGATATTTATAGCATAGTAATAAATCACATTTGTGGTTAATAATATACAACAACTTATCAATGCGCTTACTAAGTACTAAGTATATAGTATATAAAGCATCCAAATAACATCTACCTAGTTACTACGTGTACGCTTCATAACCCAAAGTTATATATTAGGCATTTTTAATTTTTTTTTATATTTTATATTATTTTAGAAGTTTTAAATTAGATATAAAATTCATATTGCAAAAAATACATATGTTATTCATAAAATATTGCAAATATTGCAAATAAATTAATATTATATTACAAAAATATTAAAATATAAAAGTAAAATAAAATAAAGTACAAATATTTTTTAAATATAATTGTGATTTTATCATAATTATTTATTTTATTTATTTTTTTAAGTCATAAAATATTTCAAATAAAATTAAATTAAATAATTTATTATTATTATTATTTAAAAATTTCCGATTTGGTATAATTTGAATTTATTAAGAAAATTTGAGGTTAATATGATGAATAAAAGTTATTTAATTGTTTAAATTTAAAGAATATATGTTAAATACATTTTTAAAAAGAAAAAATAAAGTTTTTTACAATTACAAAGTATAACTAATGGTGTGTTTGTAACTAATTTTGGGATGGAGAGAGTAGTTTTTTAATGCTATACATCTATATATATATAAAAGGAGAAAATGTAGGGTGTGTTTGTTTTGTAAAATAATTTGAAAAAATATATATATTTTTTTTTATGTGTAATATAGAAAATTATGTAGAAAATATAAGAATAATAAATATATGTAATATATTAATTATTTTGGAGAAATATGTAGAGTTTTTTTCACTAAAAGAACATAGCTCTAAATTTTGCCTTATATGTAGATTTAATTATTATTTTTAGATATATATATATATATACTAGTCGCTTATGGCACGCTACACCGGACATTTTTGTATCTGTATTTCAAAAAATTATATATGTTAACTATAACTTTTTAGGTTAACAAATAAACAATCGGAGTATTTGTGAAATGCAAAGAAATATGTTTGAACTTTTAGGTGATTTTTTTGGCTTATTTTTTGCCTTTTTTAAATTGAGTTTGCTGCCCCATATTCGAAACAAATAGTTCTTAGAAATCTAGCATGCATCGATCCTTCAATTCGAGTCTTCGACAGTATCTATTTGTAACCAATTTTTTGGGGTCATATCTAAATTTTATATATATAATTAATACGAACTTAGCTCTTCATTTTACATTAAATCATGTAAGTAAAGCATGTGTTTGTTCTTAGTTGTCAACTCTTTTGTCTGCAAGTATTATTGAGCTTTCTTAGCAGCATTTCAAATCAAGATCATGTATTTTTCAGTGATTTTAGTGATGTAACAAAGATGCTCAGAATATAAATTAGAATTGATAATGAGACAATAAATTCCATTTGCTAAATGTTCTTTCAAAGGAAGCCAACACATTTAATACAAAGAATGGTGAGAGTATGAAATTATCAGAGATAATTGACAAAAATTGAAACTGGAGTCACAATATTACACAATAAGAATTTTCGTTTAATCATCACTACCAAAACAATGGGCTATCATTACGGTACGAGGGGGCGTAACAATAACATCGATACAAATGACTATTTTCGTTACGATCTTATCCGTAACAAAAAGATTTTTTCTGGTCAAAGCCTGAGTTTCAATTGTTACGCAAAATTTTCCGTAACAATTACAAATATGGTAATATTTCAAAAAAAATAGCATTACTTACAATTAATTTCATAATATTTTTCAATTAAATATATTTTTTTCCTCTTAAATAACAAAAAAAAAAAAGAAGAACTCATTTTTACGCTTTCAACATAATGGGTTGGGACCATTTTTTACATCCTTAGACACCATTGCGATGGATCACTTTCAACACTACAAAATGTTAGGGCAAATAAATTTTCTCCCTTTTTCGTCTCATTCCCTTCTTCCGCCATGCGAAAGGGCCAACATCACCCTATACTTCTATCGGTGACAAGCTACTCCAGCGCCGGCCTTTAGGTAAGAATTTTGATGATTTCCCCTATCTGAATCTGTGCGTATGTTCTGGTTCTCAAAGCCCCATTCGATCTTCGGGTTTGTGTAAGAAAATGATTCTTGTATCGAGCCACTAGGGCTTCGGTGATTTAGTAGTTTTTGGGTCAAACAAAACTAATTCCTTACTCATTTATTGCTAGGAAATCCGGTTTGAAAGAAGATTGGCTTACGGGTTCATTTCTATGATTGTAAAGGCTATTATGTAAGTGGGTTTGTAGTTTTTCAATTTCTTCTTAATCGATCATGTTGTTAGTTGTTTAAGTAGTAGTAGTAGATGAGGAGAATTAAGGATTTACTAAACCCAGCTCTATGAATATTATTATATATTTATATAAATATCAATGTTTTACTGGTACGGGAGTGAATAGAAGTGGGTGTTTGTTACTTCTAGTTTTTGTCCTCATTTTAAGTGGTTTACTTGTTGCGAGAAAATAGAAAAAAAAAATTGAAAATCATTGATATCCAAACTTATGGTGAAATCAAGGTTGCGTCAAATATTTTTATCTAGTGCATCTTTAAAATATCTTTTCATTAAAATGAATTTGGGATATACATAGAGGCTGATGTCTTAGGCTTATTCCCATACCGACATGGAAATTAAGTGATTTAGATTTGAAATTGTGTAGTTACCTCAATATATTTTCAAATCGGAATGAGAGATGCTAGTATGTTTTCAATAGGTTAAATTATGGTGTGATTGCCCTTTTATAAGGTATTTACTACAAAAGGTTTGTTCTAATTCAATCCCAGAAGTGAGAATGCATATGGTGACTTAGTGCATGTTTATAGTGTTGTTGTAATTAATATATATATCACATTTTGGGTGTTGTAGCTTAAATTAAAGATGGGCAAAAAAAGAAGAGTGCCAGGTATCCAATTAAGGAGACAAACATCACAAGATTTCAATTATTTAAAGTATTGGAGATCAATGAAGTAATTTTTAGGTTATATTCGATGAGGTTGGTGATGGATGGATCGATGATGATGAGTTTGAATGTGTATATATATGTGTATAAATATTAATTCGATGATGAAGAAGAGTTATAATTAATCGTCTGTGGATATATTCAAAATAGAGAATGAGATTGAGGTTGAGATGGGATTATTTATTTATTTATTTATGCAATATCTGGGTGGTCTCCATCACCGGCGCTCCAATGTCTCCCTTTTTTTTTTCCAATCCTTTCTTAAAAGAAACTTGTTAGTGTTTGAGATCCTTCTATTTCTTTCAATGATTTCATCACACTTAACTTGTCTGTTCTATTGGACGTTTCTAAGATTGGAGCCTTTAGAATGATGAAATTGACGTTAATATATTGTGACCAACATTTTATCTTGAGAGCTGGTGGGGATCTGCTGCTGCAAAAAATTGGTCTGATAAATAGCTTGCTCTCGGGAGCTTTTAAGTATATTTATTTTTCTTTTTTCTTGTCTAATTTTTTTTAAAAATAAAAAATAAAAACGACTTTTAACATAATGTCAATGTTATATTATAAACTTCCTTTTCCATACGAAGTTGCTTACTCAGTTTGGTGCATTTTTGGATCTGGTGGCCGATAATGTAATGATTGTTAAATTAGTTTGTAGAGCATAGATGAAATAAGGTAATGATTGTTAAATTAGTTTGCACAATTAGGTTAAAATATATCCCCAATTATATCTTCTAAGTAATTGACCATTTGCTCTTAGGTTGCTACACTTGTTTTGAATGATTAATTTGGAAAATATCAACATGTGTTTTGCTTGTTATAGATTATGACATTTTGTGACTAATGAAATAAATTGAATGATTTTTTTTGTATCAATTAATCACTATATTTTTATTATTATTTGAACAAAATATTGCAAAAATATAAAATATAATTATGATATTTTGGGCGGACGTCGACGCCAGAAAATAAAAAATATATATATGTATATGGTGTGGCGCTAAAGGTGGCGCCAACATATATTTTATTTTTATTTTTATTTTGGTATCACTTTCGGCATCAATAAATTTTTTTTTACTTAGTTGTGGCACCACCTTCAATGTCTTTTTTTTTTTTTTCTTATTTATGGTTCCTATAATGGCACCAAGAGTTTTATTTTTGGTCCAGAAATCCGGCGCAAAGGAAATTGGAATCATAATTCTGTACCGGAGTAAAACCATGACACATGCCGCGCCATTTGAGCATAAAAGTTGTGGTTTTTGCGCAGTTCATTCCGCGCCAATTCCTCATTTTTCTGGTACTGTTATACTCTGAGTTTTCTTTTGCAACATTCCATTTTAAATTGTTCATGTTGCATCCCTTTTTTTTTTGTGTTTTTATTTTAATTTGAAGTTCACAGTTTCTCCCCTGTGAAGAGAGGTCAACATGATTTGTTATGCTTTCCTTCGAGATCGTATGTTAGTGATAAAGAATCAAAGTTACCAACACCCAAATTCTCTGTACAATTTTAAGCCCAATGTCAAATTTCTGCATGTTCTTCATGCTATTGATGTACTGTTCCATTTGCAATTAAATTTTATTTCCTGCCAAAGCCATAACACGTGAAGAATAAAAAATATGATGGATTTCACTTTTACGCATTTGGACTTTGTCTCTGCTCATCATCGGCTATTGGGTCTGATTTTACTTATTTTTACAGGTCTTTAATCAATTGCTATAAGGATAGGTCCGTGTTGTTTTTATTAGGTGAGTTATGTCCAAAGTTCTTGCTTGTCTTCAAGCTGGCTATGTGAAAACCTTACACTGTTTGAGTTTTTTTTTCAACTATAAATTTCCATGTGATCAAAATTTTGATGGTGTATTACAATACATGTGATTTAAGAAGAAGAATAATAATTTATAAGAACAAACGGAAATAAAATAACAAAAGACGCTTAATGATAGAGCCAAGACAAGAAAATTTTATGCATTAACCAAATGTAAAGCAACTTTTTTCCTTTTTTTCAGCTTCTGGTGATAATGGAATACTAGAAGTCATGGCTGATCCCCAAGGTGCAATTTCAAGAGAATTTCAGAATTTGGGTGTTTGTGTGGTGCAACAGTGTGCCAAAATTTATCAACTAGGCATGTCAATATTCTCGTCTTATAGTGTGGTTGTAAATTTATTTTCTAGAAAATGCATAAAACTCTGGGGTGCTTCATTAATGTTAGTTGAAAGCTTCTTATGCTTGTACTGTATAGTGTCAACGACAACCACTTATGATAAATTTATGAAGGAACCAATTCAAAGGTTTGTTCTACAGTTTCAGTCCCTCCATCATCATATAATACTAAAAGTGGTATATATGGTTTTAATTCAATCCTAAAATAGAGAATTGTGAGCTAGTGCGCGTTTAACTTATGTAGTAGTTTGCCCTATTTTTATGGAAAATTAGTGCATGTTTAACTTATGTTTTTTTTATAGGAAGTGGTCGTGTGTCAATGAAGGCATGAGTGAATTCAGGATAACCACATTTGAGTTTAAGTTATATTTTTTTATAGGAAGTGGCCGTGTGTCAACGAAGGCGCGCTATGTGAATCCAGGATAACCAAATTTGAGTTCAAGTTATGTTTTTTTATAGGAAGTGTCGTGTGTCAATGAAAGCGTGTTGTGTGAATCCAAGATAACTAGATTTGAGTTTATTCCTTATGTTGATACAATTTAGACATTAGGTACCTCTATAACAATACGTGCAAGGTTGGCCTTACTTGATTCCTTTGTTGTAGACATATTTACGAAATGAGCTAAACAAGATTCCCCCCGAAGGGTGGACTCCAGCTGTTCGGGTGACTCTGTACCGACAGACTCTTGGGGAAAAGAGCAAGAAGCGCTCGAAGGTTGACAGTGCTACGAGTTCAGGTCATCCCCTCAGTGAAGCAACTAGTTTAATAGATATTGTAGCATTCCAGCAAGGGTGGGAAAAAATGCATAATGGAATTGCAGAGTTGACAGCAACGATGACTGAATTCAAAACTATCAAGGCTGATGTGTATCCATTCATGCACAGAAACTCCAAAGCAGTTACTGGCCCATTTGAAGTAGTCGTAATATCCGTACTTTTCATAATTCTATCCTATGAGCTTTGGATGGCTTAGGAATTCACTATGATCTGTTTATTCTTGATAGGCCACAACTCGTATTGATACGGTCTCTGAGCTTATCAGGCCTATTTCCGAATCACCTATGATGGTATGATGTCTTCAAAACCTGAAGTTAACTAGTAATCAGTGCAGTGTCAACTTTAGGCCAATTCTCTTGGCCAACTATGTTTCTAACTTATTCGTAATGTCTATTGTAGGTTGGCACCTGTGTGCTTATATTATCTTATACTAGATAAAAGAAATTTTTTGCTAAGGGACTTTTGCTCTGCCCCCCTATGCCTGGTTCGTGGTATTGTGCCTTGAGTTTTTTTCTTTTAACTCCTTCAATATAATGTTCATACCGCATCATCGATATTGTGACCATTCAAGTCTCATAGTGCAGATGATCATGGTTTTATTGAGTTTGCCATATTCAGTTTGACATACGTGGCAGTTAGAATATTATGTATACGTAGGTTGTTAATGTACGGCAGTGGCTATGTTGGCATTATGCCAATTATGTGCTGATCTTATATTTTTTATCGTTCACATGACATTGTTTATGGCTATGCTCCTATTACACTATTTAGGTGCACATTGCAGTGCCAAAACTAATAAATGTTGGCCTTATTATTGAGTATCTTGTAGTTCCGAGCTGCCTACAATAGCTACTTATGTGATGAGGATCACTAACATATAATTTGATTTATTAGTCGTCGGTACTCTAAACTTGAACTCATCAGCGGGTGTATGCTCATATTTAATACATAAATGGTAATTAATCTCCATGGGACATGATAATACGACACATACATGGAGTAGTCCCATTTGGGGGTAACCATATGGATTTATTACTTATTGAAATTATTATTTGAATGTTGTACATGATCTACTGCTTTACTTAGGTTTTATTGGTGGATGAGTTGTTTATAGTTCGAGTTGCAATCACACAGGAAATTAGAAAGTACTGTTTTTTGGTGCCTAATTCATGAGTCGAATACCATGTATTGTAGTACATGTCTGAATGTACATACTCACGTTGTATGAGTTGGGAAGTTTATACTTCAAATGTGTTATGGCATGTTACATATACAGTTTGATTGTGTGTTGATATATATGGTAAACTACATACTCAACAATTGTACTTGTGAATGTTTTAGGTGACACATTTTTCTTGTCAAGGTTTTCATTACATTCGCCTCAGTCCCGGACACACCACTTATTTTTCCGACAATTGCTGGGGTGACTTCCATTCGCGATGTTGTCGGTGAAGATCCTATTGAGTGGAATTACAAGGATGTTCGGATATACTTTCATAACTTTCATTTATTGAATTCCAAAACTTAAAAGAAATATTACTTAAACTAAACCTTCTTCTGTTGATAATTGCAGCTCATGCCCACCCCTGAAGCATATCAACCGATTCCTTAATGTTTTGCCCCCGTTTGCCTTATGGATTGGATGTCGTAGATAAGTTTGGATGGTAGGTTGTTACGGCTATGTGAAATACCTATGGAATAAATACATAGACATTTGGAGTTATCTTTTGTGTGGTAAGAATTATTGCTATGGATTGATGGATTTCCCCACTTGCTTATTACTAGGTTGGATGTTTAAAATGCTTACGTTTTGCGGAACATAATTTCGAAGTGAAGATGTTGCTAGGCTTGTTTGATGGGTTACTTTATTTTGTTGTTTGGTGGTGAACATCGACTAGTAAATATTGTTATGTTAATATCCTATGTTGGGATTCCTTTATAGTGTTTATTGTTTGCAATTTTGGCTAATCGTAATATTTATAGCATGGTTTTATACAAAATTTCCTTTGGTGTAAGAAAGATCACAACAGGTTAATTTGTTACGCAATTTCAACTGTACCACAACTACTCTTTTTTACAAAACACTATTTTTCGTAACAAAAGGAAGAAATGACGTAACAAAATGTTGTTTTGGATGTTTGTTGTTACGACCGATTTTGTGACCATAAGAATGGATAGTTTTTTTAAGGTTCAATGACATAACAAAAAAAATAAAATGACGTAACAAAAAAATGAAATGAAGTAACAAAAAATGGTTTTTGGACGTAACAAATATAAAGGGATAATTTTGTTACGGCCGGTTTTGTGACCATAAGAAAATATATTGTTTATTACGGCTTCAATGACGTAACAAAAAATCGTAACAAAAAGCGTACTCTGACAAGCGGTCATAGTAAATTTTTGTAACGCGAGGAACTTTTGTAACAAATATCGTAACTAAAAGTCCTGGCACACGCGTGGGGAGCTCGACTGTTTATTACGAGAGAATATTTGTAACAAATATCGTAACAAAAACCTTTCCATAAGGAACGTTGACCGAGAGTAGTAGTTACGAAAATGTGCATGGCAAAAAACATTCGTTACGCGAGTACACATTACGGATAAAATTCGTCACTAAGGCGTAGCAAATACGCAAATTATACGAAAATTGGCTTTTTGTTATGAATTTCCGGCCATAGCAGAAAACTGTTTTTTTGGTAGTGCATGTACGTTTCAAAGTCCTGTGACAAAAGGAATGACTCAAAGAAATAGATCTTTCAACACATGAGGTACTTCCAGAGGGTAAGCGAGAAATTGCTGCCCAAACAACAAAATATACGGCATTTGCGGAAAAATAGTATAGCACCATAGCACACTCATGGTCGAAGAGAAACTAACTGCAGTTTTTTTAGGAACTGCGAAAATATCATTTTCCTTAATAATTTTTACAAACAAACAAACAAAAGAACATCTTTCCACATAAACCAAAATCAAAACCAACTTTCAAGATTCATAAAAAATAAGAAACAATTAGAAGTCACGAAAGCGCATGCAAACTCCCTAACACGAAATCCAGCCCCGATATCAAGAAGTAGCAAAAAAAAACTACCTATATAGAAAGAGGTATAGAATAAAATGGTTTTCCATCTGGGCAAGAATGAATCAAACTACGTGAAAAAAGGTTACGTGAATAGATTATGCATTATTATTAATATTATTATTATTAACATGGATTGATCTGCCACTAACAATGGAAGTGTATAATGAGATATCATTACTTTGATTGAAAAATCCCATAGAACTTGTAGTAGTATCTTGTAGCTAGAACAATAAACTATTATTTCACCAGAACATCCGACAAGAAAACATTCAGAATTCAAACATCATAACACAAGGAAAAATGCAAACAATTATCAATTTCCAATCAATTTTAATACCTAATTGACCACAAATTCTCTTAAATGAATATTCCAAACAAATCCAGAGCAGGACAATGAAACCAACTCATGATCTCACGTCAAGTAATTTAATTTAAAATCTTAAAAACAAAGAGCAATAAATTTGGCCATAGAAGAAATGGAAGCCGAAAAGAATGCAACTCCATTAAAGAAGTAAAAATCTCGAAAAACATATCTAAATGTGCATAAAATCCATAAATAAAATTAAACGATTGGAAATACTTGCCTATGGGGCTCGTCGTCACACCTCTTTCAACTGACACCCAAAACCCTGGCACTTGAATTTATGGTTGATCATCTCAAAACATAATTCCATATCAATACCACCTTTAAATCTCAGCGAATTAAATCAAAATTATTTATAATGAGCTAATTAAACCAATTGCACAAAATCACCTCAAATGAAAATGAGAAAGAAATCAGTTAATTAGGGAAACTTATCAAGTTAATATAGTTTCTCGATGGAAAAAAAAAATCAGTTAATTAAGGTAACTTTTCACCTCTCTAACATGGATATATAAATATTTTTTATTTTTCGTCAATCCAAAGCTAATAATACAGTTTCCAGTAAAATACAATTCCAAAAGCCAACACACAAACTATGATTTCAAAATGAATTGTGCAAACATTGCAATCAAATAAAATAGACCTAATTAAATGAATTAAATAGATATTGCACAAAATACCATAAACATCAAATACTTGTGAAGTAAAACTCTATAAATATCATGTTCAAAAGAACTATCGGTTCATTACACCGATATGTTTAATTTAAAGTATAAAATTGATGTAATAATGTACTCATAGATTAAGAGACACCACAAGAAGTGTTAAACACGAGAACAATACAACAAAAGTAATACGGTTAAGTAATAAAATTATTACACATTGACTGAGTTCAACTTGTAATTACGAACGGAAACAATATGTGTTAGCATTACCTCTAAGAAAATGCTTGATATCTACGCTCTTTCATCAACACTTGCAACCTTGCTCTTTTTCAATTTGGAACACTGAATGTTTCTATCAAAGAATCTAAATGTTCTATTTGTTTTGGAAGTAGTTGAATTGACTCCAGATGGATCATTGCCAGGCGTATATCAAAGCTAACAAAATTATGAACCATATTGAAATATTTCAAAGAAACAATGAAAAACATTATTCTGTTATACGATGTATGAACATATTTGTTTTCCACAGTGCCTTTATCAATTTAACTTTTAAAGAAATTGAAATATGAAAAAATCTCTAAAAGAGGTTTTGACAATTGCACACTCTCTACACTTTGAACAAGAATCTACTGTTGGTGTGTTTCAGCATCGACCCACACCCAGACTCAGACCCGACCCGACCCAAATTCGAACCGACCCGGTTTGTTTGATCTCCCTAAACCAGAACCGATCTAACCCCATTCTGTTCGAATTTTTGAACCCTTCCTAAATCTGTTCCGTCATTTACGGTGCTATCCCTATTTCTTCGAGATTGATCGAGTCCGTCTGGCTGTTGATAAGGTAAGGTTGTTCCCTACTCCTTTGGGTTCTATCCATCCACCTCTCCACTATATATATGGGTTTGGGATTTTGGGAAAAGGGAGTGACGTGTTCGCTATTCTGTTCTATTATGTGAGCGACGAACTTACTGCCTATGCCTATCGACTTCTCTCGTTACTTTTCCATCCTGATATTGCGTGTGCGAGGAACACTATAGGTTTCTTGGGTTACTTCGTCTTAGGAACCACCGCAATCGACACCTTTGTGGGTTACCTCGTAGGACGACTTGGAGTTGGCGAAGGAGTGGCTGCGATCTGAGCCTCCTTTACTGATTGATTAATTTTTCTTTCAATTCTTAATATATATTTTGTTTTATATTCTTAACCATTGAGTTTTATCCGCACTAATGATTTGGTTGAGAATCTATGCAGATCACCCAACGATCCGGAAGATCGAGAATCCCAACATTGGTATCAGAGCAAAGTTAAAAAGCTGAACGCGGGTTGAATTTGCAATCCTAGGTGCAAACAGAAATTGGAAAAAATTGCCCCAATCGGTAATGGGTGGCTAACCCTTGAACTTCTATGTGTTAGATAATATTTGGGTATTCGTGATTGTTTATATATGATTAATTGTGTGACACAACTATCACGTAACTGGCTGCTCCAAGAGCGAGTAAGTAGCTGACCACTGGTAGTTTGTGAATTCTTGTCTGACATACTTGGTTGTGTGTGTAAGTTGGCTATTACATACCAAACTGCTCCTAAAATGAGTAGGTAGTTGACCTCTAATAGCCACCTTATATGATTGTGTGAATTATTCGTTAATATGTCGTCTGTGTCTTCTTTCAATATTGCACCATTCCATGGAAAAATTGATTTTTCGATTTGGCAACAAAAAATGAAAGGACTTTTAGTAACTCAAAAAGTTTCCAAAGCAATATAATGCGTTAATGATTGACGAAAGAAAGGCTGAAGTAGATGAATGTGATTATTCTCTGATTATCTTGAACTTATCTAGGTAGGAAAACTAGACTCTACGAAAGAATTATGGGAAAGATTAGAAGAGCTTTAAATGGAAAAATCTTTGCCAAACAAACTGTTTTTACTTGAAATGTTTTTCTGTTTTAAACTTGATTTGAATCGAAACATTGATGAAAATTTAAATGTTTTTACAAGTTAGTTCAAGATATACAACAAACAGACGATAAGAATATTGATGAATATATCCCTATTGTTCTTTTGAATGCAATTCCTGACTCTTATTCAGATGTTAAGTCTGCTATCAAATATGTCAGAGATAGTATAAATCTTGAAACTGTCATAAATTGATTAAAAAGTAAAGAACTTGACTTGCATGCAAATAAAAGTAATAAACATGTCAGTGATGAAGTGATGTTTGCTAGGGGTAGGTCACAAGTTAGAAAAAACACAGAAAACCAAAAGAATAAGAGAAAGAGAAATGAGAGATCTAGGTCTAAGTCTAGACCTAAGAACAGAAAGTGTTACAACTGTGGGGAACCCAACCATTATGCTAAGCAATGTCCGCATCCTAAGAACTTTAAAAACCAACAAAATGAGCATGCTAATATGACTATAGGAAATGAATATGTAGGAGATGTTTTTATGGTTAAAGGAAATTGTGATGTTGTTAATACTATATATGCTAACGAGTGGTTGTTTGATTTTGCATGTATTTTTCACATGTCTCCTCTGAAAAACTTGTTTTCAAACTATAGGTCTATTTCGCATGCTAGTGTTTCAATGGCAAATGAAAAACTTTGTAAAGTTGTTGGTATAGGTGATATTTGTCTAAAGTTCGACTCTGGCTATATGTTAACCTTAAGGAATGTTAGGCATGTTCCTGATTTGTGCAATAACTTGATTTCATGTGCTGCACTAGATGAAAGTGGATTAATAGGAAAATGGGGAAATGGCATTATGAAAGTCTTAAAGGGTTCATTTATTGCGTTTAAGGCAGTTAGACAAAACAATTTGTACGTTGCTTATGCTAAACCAAATTGCATGCCA